GCCCGGCCGCGGCAGCGCCGCTCACCCCTCCTCTCGCTGTTTTCAAGATCGCCCAAGAGGAGGAGCAAGTCCGGGCGGAGGAGCCGGTCCCCGCGCGGCAGGAGGAGCCGGAGCCCGCACCGCGCCGCCGTGAAGGTGAAGCAGGTAAATCGCGCTGTCGGTAGCAGCGAGGCCCGGTCCTGCCCGCGGAGGTGTCCGCGGGGCCTTGCGCGCTTCCCGGCTCCGCTGCGACAGCAGTTCCCGTGAGACTCGGCCGTGCGAGGTACGAAAAACGACTTCTCACCTGGCAGTTATTTTCTTCTAGCCCTTGCGGGGCGTCGTGTTAGGAAAAGGAGGGTCTTGGTGGTTTAAAGCTCGCGCTACCAGCCTCAGGCTTTGCCCTAAGCGAGTGGGTGTTCACGCGTGTCGGTGAGCCTCTTGCCCTTTGCCACTTAGGCAGGCTGTCCCTGCGAGCCTCTTCACGTGCCCGGAGCAGATGGTGCGTGGCACTGTTTCTTGATCTTGCTTTATCCTGTGCAAGTAGTGGGAATCCAAATAGTTTGGCAAGGAAATAAGTTTCTCTCGCTTTGTGTTAGATCTGCACACGACACGTCCAGGGACGTGCTTTCCATGTGTAGGATTGTGATTTTCATAAAAGCTGAGGTAGATTCACTGCTCTTTTCGTTCTAATTCTGAATACGTCACTATAAGCAATTCTTCATTACAGGAGCGAGATGACCATTGTCGCAGAGGAAACGAGGAGCGAAAGCAGAGATACCCGTCAGAACAAGAACACAGGAGGGAGAGAAGCGGTGACAGAGATAGACACAGAGACCACTCAGACAGAAGGAAGAATCCAAACGAAAGGCCTGGAGTTCGAGGCCACGAGCGAGAGAGGGATGTTCAGAACATCCGTGAGCAGCAAGCAGAGAGGGAGTTCTATAACGAGAGAAGACGAGAGCATCGACAAAATAACGAAGGCAGTGGTGTTGACCAGAATCCAGAACTCGGGCAATCTGATAACAAACCTAAAGAAAAAGCTTCTGTAAACAAAGAGAAGCCGAGCTTTGAACTGTCTGGTGCGCTTCTAGAGGATACCAACACTTTCCGAGGTGTTGTGATTAAGTACAGCGAGCCCCCTGAAGCTCGGATTCCGAAGAAGCGATGGCGCCTCTATCCGTTCAAAAACGATGAGTTTCTCCCAGTCATGTACATTCACAGGCAGAGTGCTTATCTTCTGGGCAGGCACCGCAGAATCGCAGATATTCCGATTGACCATCCCTCCTGCTCAAAGCAGCATGCCGTGTTCCAGTACCGGTAAGTACTACTCTGCCTGCTGGTGAAACAGGATTATTCAGGAACTTCTGAAGGAAAAAAAAAAAAAAAACAAGCCAAAAAAACCTTGGGTATGCACAGCTGAGAGGTACGAGTTTGCTGTAAGTACGTTAGAGGGAGATGGAATTTATGTTTGACTGCTGCATATCATCCTAGCAGTAATCAAAAATGTCTGTAATTCCTCTCATTTAACCACAAGCAGCCTTTTAGTGAGACAAATAACACAGCAGGGTTAAACACAGAACTGTGTGCGTATCTGAATTGGAATAAACCAGCAGGTGTAATTGGCAGTAAAAGTATTTCAAGGAGAGTTTTTTTTCGTTTGGTCTTTCACAACAAAGTCTGCTGATCTCCTCTGAAGCAGCAGGGGTTGCCTGCTGCTGAAGACAAAGACGCTCTCTTAGGGAACAGCCATCTGTTCTGTTGTAGGAATTAGTGTATTATATCATCAGAAGTTTTAGAAGGCGATGCAGTCGGAATCTGCTCAGTCTCACGGTTTCTCATTGCTCTCATCAGACTTGTTCGGATCTCTGCAAGCACGGATAAGTATTAGCTGCATCGGGGCTCGTGCGTGGCAAAACCCATCTGCTCTTGGAGTACGTTTTCTGTCTCGCGCTGTTGTGATTGAAATGGTGTTCTTTGTTTTGCTAGGCTTGTGGAGTACACTCGCGCCGATGGTACCGTTGGCCGCAGAGTAAGGCCCTACATAATCGACCTGGGCTCTGGGAACGGCACTTTTCTAAATAACCAGCGGATTGAACCTCAGCGTTACTATGAACTGAAGGAAAAGGACGTACTGAAGTTTGGGTTCAGCAGCAGGGAATACGTTCTTCTCCATGAATCTTCAGATAAATCTGAGGCCAATACAAAGGACGATGATGATGATGAAGAGAAGGAGGAAGAGTCTGACAGTTAACAGATGAGGAGGAAATTGCGGGGGGACACGGCAGGGGACAGAAATTCTTTGCGGTTGAACATGCATTGGGGTGTAAACATTGGAGCATCGCAGCACTGATGCCTCTTATTGCCTTAAAGTCCTTTTTCTGTTGCTGATCTGTTCTCGTAGTTTATTTTGGGGGACTTCACTGATTATTCATCTTTGATAGTTCTGCATATCAGGAAATACAGCTTTTTTTTTTTTCTTTCTTTCTTTTTTCCCCCCCGACAAGCAAAAGAGCGCCTGGATGTGAAAGCTCTGATGCTGGAAATATTCAACAGATGTTGAAAGACTGTCCTCTTCTAGGAAACGATGTAAAACACAGCTGGCATATTTAAAATTATTTTTATTAACTGTTTTTTCATAGCCCTTTGAAAATGCTACTTAACTGAAATATTAGTTAGAAAGTAACCCGATGCATTTTTTGTAACACGTCTTGTTTGGTAGAGTTTGCCAAAGTCCTCTGCCTGTTAGGAGTTCAGGACGGGAGGATTTACCAGGCTCGCTACTAAAAAGGTGGAAATGTTGCAAAGCCCCTCTTGTATTTGTATGTTTTGGGTAATTAGTTTGCCTTGTGATAACTTTCAGGGACGGGCATTTCACTGGAATACACTACCTGAAAATGACAAGGTAATTTGAAATAGAAGTTAAACGCTTCTTGGGATTTTAGGTGACGATACTGTGATTTGGGGGCTGAGGTCTAGGTCGGTGTCTGCCCAGTACGTGTTCCAGCGTACGATGCTGAAACTGTTACTGGGTGTTGGGTGTCCAGGTCTAAAGCTGGGGCCTTTATTTCTGCTACCACCCCTGCCCCATGAATTTGGTTTTGTTTGTATTACGCATAAATACCTTTTATGTGGTGACATGTTTTAACCAGAGTTTGCACTATTTAAGTTTTCTTTTTATAAAAAGTTATACAAGTCACTTGTTTGTTTAAAATAGTCTTCTCCCCTGTAAAAGAAAACGATGCTTTAGGAAGAGAAGAAATAATTCCACTCACTGAAAGTACTTGCATCTTGCATATTTTTGGATGTCTTCTCCCCGTTGCTTTATGGTGTAAGAAATGTATATTTTCCACCCTGTTTACTGATTTGCCTGGATGTTTGTTCTGTGGTCACAAGCTGTTCGTACCTGCTGTGTACATACTTTGTGTATACAAATGCTGCATATTGTATACACAGGCTGGAACATTTATGGTGTAAATATGGGGCATTGATGTAGGTTTTCAAACAGTAGGTAGAATGAGTTTTGACTGGGATGGTCTCCTTTATATATACTCTAGGGGTTTTTAAATAAAGAATTTGTAAATTTAGCCCTAATTACTTTCAGTTGTAATATTTTTCTAGTGTCCTTTTTTTTTCCTTTACGTTCCTTGAAATAGATGAACTTTCAGTACTCATTTCAGTATTAAGGACACCAAATAAGTAAAAAAAAAAAAAAAATTGCATGATTTGTGTGCTTGAGAGGCTGGGGGGGGGGGGGGGGGGGGCGGTGGCCCGCTCCGCGGGGGCTTAGCCGAGTGTGGCCCAGGTGGCTTGTTCTGTGTCCCGGCTGCTTTGCCCCCGACGCAGGCAGGTTGACGCTCAGAAATACGAAATCACTGCGTGGTTTAAGCCAGAGACGATCAGTGCTGTGGAAGGGCAAACCAGCCCCTCAAGTCTCACTCGCTGCGGAGCGTTTAGACTAACGTAATAGAAGCTCGGACCTAGATAAAAAAAAGTTCGACTGAGTCAGAGAGATGTACGCAAAGTTGAAATGACCTATCTTGAACGGGCTTTTTTTCCAGCGAGGGGAGGCACGGAGCCGGGATAGCGGCTGTGATGGAAAAGGGAGACGGAACGCTGCCTTGCCCCAGCGAGGCTCTCCGTGCTGCCTCAGATCCGCTCCGGTTTTGTGCCCGTCCCTGCCGCGCCGCCAGCTGTGAGACCCCCGGCTCGGGCGGGGACCTGCCGCTCCTTGGGCCGGAGGCGCGAGGCAAATCCCCGGGAGCGGCGGCAC